TCAAATTCATAATATTAAAATCCAGTAGTTGCAAATGTTATCTATTTGACATAAACCGTGATTTTACAATACAGATAAATACAAAGTATTATAATAGTACATTCAAGTCCTCCTTTATCTTACATATAAAATCCTAATATAATTGATAGCTTAGATGCTCCTTTAATCCTAAAAGTATTCAAATGATTAATGTTTCTGGTGATGTGTATAAGCTGCTTGATCATATATAGGCGTTAGCGTTTAACAAGCCACTGTTTCTGCACGTGGCCTTTTAACATGAAAAGTATTCGCCTTCACGGCGACGAAACCATCATCTCTTGTTTTGTTTTTCCTGCACAGTTGTAGATTCACAACAAGCGGCACTGTTGGATTGTTAGTAGGGGGGACCGGGTTGTGCCACTCCACTGGGGTGTTGGGGTCTGGGTTCTAGTTCATCCAGATGTTATATTTGTGATTTATTTATTTAGATATTGTACAGATGCCTCAGCGAGGCTTATTGGCCTGATGGGGTTGCCTTCAAGGACTTACCTAGGTGTTCAGTACCTCGGGAAACAAGACCAACGCAAATTTCAAGCATGTGAGAGAGGAGAAAGAAATTGAGAAAGTTAAAAGCCAGTCCCCTGCTCAATAAATTCAATATCTCACTCACTATGTCTTTTCTCTCTGACACTTTTTTCTCGATTCACCCCACTCATTCACCCCACTAACTCTTACCCTGTTTCCCTCTCTTTCTCTCCGCTCTCTCCCACATGACATTTCTTCTTCCTCGGCTCTCTCATGTACTCCACGGGACGTTGACAGCAACATGGAAAGGAGAGCCACAGACACTGATCAAGGTCCCTTTCAGGTGGAAGCGCAGAGGAGCTGCAGAGAGAGGAAGAGGACGATCCGAAGAATGGACATCGAGAACAAGGGCAACTGAACGAGAGAGGAGGAGAAACTTCCAACATTAGAGAGTAGTGGCAATAAAGTATGAAAAGGACAGAATTAAAAAAAAGGATGTGAGTTTCTTTGGTTGATGCCACACGTACGCATGCAAGCATACTTACCGTTGCCGACACAAATCCATGCGAGTTCGTCGGTCATTGCCCGGCGGACATGTAGTTTTGTTTTGTGAAATGTCTCTGCACATAAATGACTCTACAAGCGCTTAATCACACAGGAGACCTTGGACCTAACCTGATTTCACCTTTCCTTGAGTTTGCCGGAAAAACGTAACTTTTAACTTGTGCTATCAATACTTGGTTGCTGTTATTATCAAAATTATTTTTCCAATGTTACTGACATTTTTAACAGCAATATACGATACCATAAAAAATCAGAAAGTTGAAGGAAAATATAAAACAGGCGAGGGTGGGTAGTACTCGCAATTGGGCTCCTTGTGACCGTACTTGGTGGAGCGATCTAATGTTAAAGACAATAAACTAAACTCAAAGAAGAGTGTGCATGACATGTATGCCGAATCCAAGGTAAGCGCACGGCCACACTGGAAAATTGGTCGTGGACAGTGTATCAAGGGTGTCCAGTCCAGGTAATACCTTCTGCGTGATTTACATAAACCATTATAACCTTACGATGACGTATTGATGAAGTGAAGTTAGCTATATGATCACTACGTGAAATCCCTAATTTGTTTGCGGTATTGACGTCAGAGGTTTGTAGATTGACAATGTATAGACCAAGAAAAGGAACGAATAATTGTTTGCAATATGGTGATCACAGGCAAAAATATATAGAAGAGGCTTAATGGGTTTACTTTTCTTTGATTCAATATATTCCGCTATATGCACATGATGAGTGTGAAACGAGAAATTGCATTGGTGAGTGTGACGACCGAAATTATATAGTGGAGTGACACACGGAAAAAGGAATAAACAGGAGGGAGAAAGGATGGGAGAAGGACGGGGAGAGAAAAGGATAGGCTCAGTGAGAAGATTCGAATAGGGGTGACCGCTGAGCTTTGTGCTTCATAGAGGGGCAAAATGAGATTGATGAAAGAAGGTACGGATGAAAGCGAAGTCGATCGCATGGCGAGGACACACAAGCGTGTGAACCAGGTAGGAGATAAAAATAAACTTAAGACAAGGAATGGTAAATGATACTCGTCATAGTATTATTATTATCCACGATATCTAGCGATAGACAGGAGAAATGAAAGCGGTGCTTATTATTAGATGATGATATATATTAAGCCATATGCAGTTGACTGATATCATAGCGAAAAAAAAATAACCTGCGAAAATGAAGTGAGAGTGAAATGAAAGAAATTTAATGCAAAAAGATAATAGATGTTATATAAACTGATTATCACGACGCAGAACAAAAATAAGTAGTGGTATCAGGTGAATGAGACACCGAGCACGGTAAAAGACAATCCATCTAGCACGGGAGAAGCTAATACATTTCCCGTCGTTGTGATCGACAACCTACATAAAGGAGTAACCCTGCGCCGCTACTGCACACAGTGTGGAGCTAGAGAGACAATTGCCAGGCGCGCGCGGCAGAACAGTGGGCTGGCTTGCGGATAATGTGCAGGGAGAAGGAGAGGGAGTGGATGACGTCGCGGATTTGGAGAGGCGTAAGCTGTATAAAAGGTATGAAGATTATATTAGGACAGGTTGACTATGATGTGAATCCAGACAAAAAAGCAGGATCAGGAGCCCCAAAAAAAACTCATACACATAATGGTGACGATGCTGATATAGAGGGAAAAAGATACCACAAACGAAATTATTATGTCAAATGGTGGTGTGGTGGATGGAGGTGGTTGAGGAGGGATGAAGAAGAAGCGAGGGAGTGATAGAGGAGGAATATATATAGGCCATAATAGATAAAAGAGATAAAAGATAAAAGAATATTATATATTTATATAAAGGAGATAGAGGTGATAGTAGTATTATACACCGTATACGACCACAACGGGAATCGACGAAGAGCACACCGACATCTATCTCACACAACACACACAACACACACATAATAGGTAATATTAGGATATAATATATATAGTATATCATATACGTATATATATATATTTATCTGTTGGTGTGTGTGGTGGTTGATTGTTTGCTTTATTTGCAAGTATATATAAAAAAAATTAGTTGTGTACATATATAAATTACATTACACTCACATTATTATATAATGATGACGAGTGAATATATATATACTAAATGATGAGTTAGTAAGGTTAATAAAGGTAAAATGAGAGGTAAATAAATGGTTATTTCAGATATATATGAGCTGTAGGGTCTGGAGGTATGGGGTTTGGTGTGGTGTAGGTATCAGTGGGGATAGTGATAAGGTAAATATTTAGATAATGTCCATAAGTGAGCTAATAAAGATTAGATAGGGGAGGGCCTGACCCATGAAGTAAGTTAGTGTTAACGGAGTATAGGAGAGAGGAGGCAGAAGGAGGAGTGGCAGGAACGGACTAATTTACTTATATTGAGACCGAATGAGAAGGAACATTCTCATATGCACTTACTAGAGGACAAAAACAAGGCCAAAGCAGTGAGTCGCAGGAGTAGGACGGTAGAGATATAAGGGAGGAGGAGAGAGTTGGGGGCCTGAGAGAGCGTAGGGGAAGGGCGAGGAAGAAGGAGGAGAAGGAGGAAGGAGGAGGAGGTCGGAGGGATAAAGCGAGTTAGAGGAGGTGGAAGGAGAAGTAGTGAGGGGGAGGAGGAGGGAAGGTGCAGGGAAGAGAGGAAGAGGGGAGGAAGGGAGGATAAAGGAGGATGGGAGCTGAGATAGAAGGAGTGGTGGGAAGAGGAGTCGAGGAGGGGACAAGGAATAAAGGAGATGAGCAGAGGAAGAAATAGGAAAGCCAGTACACTACAAGGACCGTAGAGAGGAGGAGAAGGAGGAAGAGAGAAGGAACAGTCGGGCATTCACCCGACATGGAGGAAGGAGGAGGGAGAGTGAACAAGAACCGCGGACCACAAGAAGGAGGAGTGAGCGAGGAGGGAGGAATAATAAAGCGAGGAGGAGGGAGAGATAGGAGTAGGGGAGGGACGGGGAGGAGAAGCGAGTGACGGGGTAGAAGGGAGTAAGAAGGAGATGCAGGAGTCGGAGAGGTAGGTATGGGAAGGGCCAG